TTCACACTCTCAATGACATGCAGTGTAGGTCGGTGTGGGTGTCGGTTAATCCCTCTTTCCTCCTATTTCTCCCTTTATTACGCGCTTTTTCTTTCTCTCTAGCTCTGTCTCTCTCTCTTTTCTTTCTTTTAGCTTCTTCCTCTTTTTTCTTTAGCTTTCTTCCTCTTTTTTCTTTCTTTATTACCTTAATTTTTTTTTCTTTTGGCCACTGTCTCCCTCTTTCCCTTCTTTAGCTTTTTTTCCTCTTCTTTTTTTACTACGTTTTTCTTTTTTTTTTCTATCTCTGTCTCCCTCTTTTCCCTCTTTATCTTTCTTCCTCTTTTTTACTACGTTTTTCTTTCTTTCGACCATTATCTCTCTCTTTCCCTTCTTTATCTTTCTTCCTCTTTTTTACTACGCTTTTTTTCTTTTGAGTAATATCTCCCTCTTTCTATTCTTGGGCTTTCTTCCTCTTTTTTACTACGCTTTTATTTTTTTCTATCTCTCTCTCCCTCTTTCCCTTCTACGCTTCATCTCTGCGTATCTCTCTTTTTTTTTTTTTTTTTTTTTTTTTACTTCATGTTTGTTCGATTTTGTTGTGCTTTCCCTCTCTTTATTTCACTTCTCTTCGTGTCTTCTTTACCTTCGGCTCTCCCCTTTTCTCGTGTCTGTCTCCAATTTCTTTTTTTTCACCATATTTCTCGTATTTATTGCCTCTTTCCAACATTCCCTTCGCCTTTTCTACCCTCTTGTCATCTCCAACATTTACTCCAGCATTTCTCCTTCCTCCTTCCACCTTTCAATCCTCTTTCAATCGTTTTCTTTCTATTCCCGCCTCACTCATTGCCTCATCCCGGAGTAATCCACCACCTCTCTCCACCACTGCCCTCCCACCACACCCTCTCTCACCACTGCCCTCCACCACACCCCTCTCCACCACTGCCCCCACACCCTCTCCACATCGCCCTCCACCACACCACACCTCCTCTCTCCACCACTGCCCTCCACCACCCTCTCTCCACCATCTCCACCACATCCACCACCATGCCCTCCACCACCACCCTCTCCACGCCACCATCGCCTCCACCACTCCCCACCGACCCTCAATGCGCCAGGATAGCTTTACGGTCCACTTATCGGCTCTCATATTCATAAAGGAGGGGAAGGGTAGGGGATGGAGGGGTGGGGGGGGGGGCGGTGAACAGTCGAGTGGGAGAAAGGGCGGGAGGTGGAAGGCGTATAGGGGGGGATGGGCGAGGGGGGTAGAGGGGGGGGGGGTGGGTGGGTGTGGGAGGGGCGGTTCAGGATCGAGTGGGAGAAAGGACGGGGGTGGAAGGGGTGGTGGAGGGGGGTGGGGTGGGGGGATGGGCGATGAAGGGTCGAGTTATTTATTTATTTTTTTTTTTTCCTTCGTGTTCAGAGTACGAAATCCACACACCTTTGGAGTTAAAGACCCGGTGGTAAGTGGTGTGTGTGTGGGGGGGGGGAGGGGGGGGGGAGGGGAGGAGGGGGAGACAGGGGAAAAAATGGGAGAGACACTTGAAAGGAGATGTTTATGAAGTTTTGTTTGAATGGGGCGAGAGGGGGGGGGGATGGGGGGAGGGGGGAAGGGGGAGAGGGGGGATAGAGGGGGAGGGGGGGATAGAGGGGAGTAAGGATGGGAAGGTGATGAATTGTTTATGAAGTTTTCTTGAATGGGGCGAGAGGAGAGGAGAGGGGGTAGAGGGGGGAGGTAGGAGGGGAGAGGGGGGTGTAGAGGGGTAAGGATGGGAAGTGATGAAATGGAAGGATATGGGATGAAACAGAAGGCTTGGGGGAGAAGGGAAGAAAGGTGGGGAGCACGGTGGAAAGCAGATGAATTATGATAGATGGAGAGAGAGAGAGATTTAGATAGAGAGAGAGAGAGAGAGAAAGAGAGAGAGAGAGAGAGAGAGAGAGAGAGAGAGAAGAGAGAGAGAGAGAGGAAGGAGGAGAGAGAGAGAGAGAGAGAGAGAGAGAGAGAGAGAGAGAGAGAGAGAGAGATTTAGATAGAGAGATAGAGAAAGAGGAAAGAAAGAGAGAGAGAGAGCAGAGAGCAGAGACAGAGAGAGAGAGTGAGAAGAGAAGAGAGGAGAGAGAGAGAGTGAGAGAAGAAAGAGAGAGAGGAGAGAGAAGAGAGAGAGAGAGAGAGAGAGAGAGAGAGAGAGAGAGAGAGTTAGAAGACAGAAGAGAGAAAAAAAATAAAGAAAAAACAGGCAGGCAAACAAACATAAAAAAATGAAGGACAAATAAAAAACATAACACAGTTACGAAAAGAAAAAAGAATATTAATCGTGAACGCAGACAACAAACAAAAATATAATAATAAGAAAAAAATAAAAAATAATAATAAAAAAGAGACACATAGCAGAGAGAAAATGATACAGAGAATATCAGAGAATCCCACGCTATCCAAAAGCGCAGAAAATGAGAAAGGTGCTTAAGCTGTAATCTTTAGATACAAACATTTTATCCAGAACCTTGATTGCATAATTCAGTCCGTTTATAAGGCATAAAAAATCGAAGAGAAAATGAGGATGAAAGGGAATAATAAAGGAGAGAGGTAAGGGGGGAGGAAGGATGAGGGCGGTTGGGGGGGGGGTAGGGGGGTAGAGAGGGTGAAGAGAGAAGAGAGAGTAAAAAAGAAATATATGATACACGTGACTGCTCCCTTTTGTGTTGTTTGAAATAGATTGCGAAGTAGTATTGATATTTCGAGAGATTAGAAACAGAGATAGATACAGACAGACAGATGATAGATAGAGTTAGGTGGGAGAAAAATGGAAAAGGAGAGAAAGAGAAGAGCAGAGATCAAGAAGAGAG